GCAACCCACTGCAGCAGGGGCTGCAGCCTACGCCCTCGCCTGCAACTCACAGCAACCCAGCTCCAGGTTGAGCTGTTGTTCAGCATCTTAGCTGTAGAGGGCAGTGCACTGGCCCTCATATGTGGGATCCGAACCAGGGCCCTCTGGTGTCCCAAGCCAGTTCTTAACCAACGCGCCACTCGACTGGCCCCCAAAAGGGTTTTTTGTCTCCACATATAATAACTTCAGCTGGCTATATAATTCTACATTGTATCAATTTCTTTTCAGAATTCTGAAGGTCTGGCTCCACTATTTAGCATTCAATGTTAAGACATTTAGTAAGATTCTTTTTCCTGCCTTTTTTTGTTTTAACTTTATGGGGGAAGAGTGTGTTTTTCCCAGGACCCATCAGCTCCAAGTCAAGTTGTCCTTCAATCTCAGTTGTGGAGGGCGCACCTCGCTCCAAGTCCAGTTGCCATTTTCAATCTAGTTGTGGGGGGCACAGCACACTATCCTATGTGGGAGTGGAACCAGCAACCTTGTTAAGAGCATGTGCTCTAGGGGCTGGCTGAGTGGCGCGTTGGTTGGGAGCTGGCTTGGGATGCCAGCTCTGAGCAGCGGGGCCCCGGTTTGGATCCCACATGCGGCCAGTGACACTGCCCTCTACAGCTAAGATGATGAACAGCCGCTCAACCTGGAGCTGGGCTGCCGTGGGTCGCCGGCGATGGCGTACGCTGCTGCCCCTGCTGCAGTGGCTGCCATGGGCTACCGTGGATGGCCGGCAGCCAGCGTGAGCTGCTGGCAGCCAGTGTGAGCTGTCAAGAGCCGCCGTGGGCGGCCGTCCAGAGGCCGGTGGCCCATCTGCCTTGCCTGGGAAGAGCGCAATGATGGTGCCAACATGGGCCAGTGAAGTGACGTCCTCCACAACTAGACTGAAGAACAAAACGACAGCAACTTGTCTGTTCGACTCCCCCAATAACCCGATAAAATCTTAAAAAAAAAAAAAGAGCATATGCTCTAACCTACTGAGCCATCCAGCCGCCCATCAGCAGTTCAGTGGCAGCTCAGCTCAAGGTGCCATGTTTAATCTAATTGTGGGGTGTGGCCCACCATCCCATTATGTGGGAGTTGAACCGGCAACCTTGTTAGGAGCACATGCTCTCACCAGTTGAGCCATCCTGCCACCTGTTGGCAGCTCAGCTTGGGCACCTCTCATTGGCCCATGTGAATTGAACCAGCGGCCCTGTTCCTCAGAGCCTGTGCTCTTAACCAACTGAGCCACTTGACTGGCCCTCTGGCCTCCAGTCTTTTTCCCTGACATCCATTCTTGACACAACAGCCTGAGTTCTATAAAACACATGACCTATCATGATGCTCCCTGCTCAAAACCCCGCGTGGGTCCCAGCCACACTTAGAATAAACACCACCTTATGGAGGTCTGTAGCTTCTGCCGCTTTCACGTGCTCTGGCCACAGTGGCTTTGTGGGTTCCTGGGACATGCTGAGCTTTCTCTGGCCCCAGAGTCTTGCCTTGCTGAAAGTCCTTTGAGAGTGACGCTCTGGCTCAGCTCACCTCCTCAGGCTTCCTTGTCCCCAGCCCCCAGAGGAAGTCTTGATTGGATCATCCTGTGCTTTCCAAGAACTCCAAAGTCACTTCAGAGCCACACCTGCGTTGTAATCTGGGGCCTGCCTCTGCCTATCTGGGTGACTTTGGGCAAATCCCTTAATATATATGAACTTCAATTTCTCATCCATAATATAGGGCTAATGATGCCTGTCATCTCGAGAGTGGTTGTGTGGCTCAGGTGAGATGATACAGCAGCAGGCAGAGTGGCTGGTGCATAATGGCTTGACAAATGGTCATATTATGTCATTCATTCACCCAGCAAATACTGGCTTGGTATATGCCCAGCTCCTGGTTCAGAGGTGCATGAGGCAGTCACTCCCATGCACTCTCCTCATCCACTGAGACTTCTCAGGAAATTGGTAAACACCCAGAATCCCCATCCAGTGCCAATATGCTGTGACAAGGGGTAGTACAGAGGCCATAGGAGAAGGGGGCGTCTGACTCACCCAGCCTGTGTGGGGTGGGAGACAGCCCAAGACATTGTCCACCCAGAGGAGTGCTAGGGGAGAAATACCAGGCAAACGTCCACACCCACTCAATCAAATTCCACCTTTCAGGTGGGGTCATCCAAAACCCTTCCCAAGTGGCGAGGGGCCTTTATTCTGCAGACAAGGAGTCTGCAGGGCTTTTTGCAGAGGGTTGATTTGATCATACTAGCTCGTTCTGGTCAGAGGATTAGAAGGCTGTGGTTGCAGCTGGGACAAGGGTGATAGTGAGGCCACAAGACATGGGCAGGTCCAGAGCTAATGGCTGTGAGGACCAGGAAAGGGTGTAAATGGAAGCACTCATTCCATCCCAGTGCCAAGCTCTACTGCACCTCGGGTTTGTGACTACCCATGGAACCAAAGGGGAAAACATATCTTTTTGTGTATCAGTGTTTGCGATAAGTGGGGCCCTCTAGAGCTCAGGGCCCTGACAAGGGTTCCCCCTCTTGTTTGGGTCTAAGGGCAGAACTGTACCTGGGGCTTGCTGATGGTGGGCAAGGCGCCCCAGCAAGGAGGGTTCAGGCGAAGTGCGCTGGAAGGCCGCGAGGGTCTGACCGGGATCGTGGCCTGTGAGGTGGGTGAATGAGAGGTCTGAGAAACGGTCCCGGGGCCTTGCAGGGTCATCAGGCACCAAAAGCACAGGACTACTGCGGAGCAGGGTGCAGGGAGGGGCGAGCTCGGGCAGGGCGCCTCTCGGCCAGGGGTTCTAAGCTAACGGCTGGTCTGCGCGCAGGGCTGCTGGGCGAGGGCAGCAGGGCACTGCTACCCGCGGTTCGTCGTCCACAGCGCACGGGCCTCTCGGGTAGCAGCTCCGAGCTCAGCCATGATTTCAAGGCGCTCTACAGAACCCCACCCAAGTCCGCGAAGAGGGCCATTCTAGACCCCATTGAGTCACCTGGACTCGGGCTAGGGGCCCGGCCCAAGGTCACTGGGCCATTCCAGACCGGGTAGGGTCGGGGCTGCAGGCCTGGTGCATCCCGGGGGCCCGGCCTGCCTGCGGCCACCGGTCGGAGAGGCGCGGAGGCGTCTGGGTGCCTGTCAGACAGGCGGAACTCCTCTACTCTACCCGGGTAGTTCTCCCACCGCCGGGGACGCGGCCGCGCGCCGGCCCGGCCCCTCCGCTCAACTACAATTCCCAGAAGGAGGCGCGGCGTGGGCGGAGCCGGGCGGTGCGGATCTCAGCAGTGACGTCACCTTCGCATCAAACGCCCCAGCTCCAGCCCCTCGCGACGTTAGGGCGTTCGGCCGCGCACAGCCTGACGGGAATCATGGTTCTCCCGCCGGGCGCCCCCAGCGGCGGCGCAAGCATCGAGACTTCAACTCCCGTCGTGCCCTGCGCGCCGGCGTACGTTAACGGCGGGAGGGAGAGAGCGAGGCAGAGGAGGAGCGGCGCTAGGGAGGGCGGAGTGAGGCGGGAGGGGGAGGGCTCCCCCGACGTAAACTGGGATCCCTTTCCCCTTGTGTCCGCCATATTGGACTCTAACTCTGGTCAGCGGCGGCGCCGGGCCCGGTGGACTCGCCGTTCCTCCCGCCCAGCGGCCTCCCGGCAGCACCCGCCCGCCCTGCCGTCTCCGTCCGCCCGGAGGCGACCCCGCGCAGCGCCCCCCGCCCTCGGCCGGCCGGAGCGCCCCGCTNAGCGGCTGCTCAGCTCGGGCTGGACTCGAACCGCTGTTGCTCAGAGCTCAAACTCTTGAGCGAGCTCTTAACCAACTGAGCCACTCGGCCGGCCCCTAGGATACTTTTAAGGGCTTCTCACCAGGCAGCAGAGCACCTCTTGCTGGTTAGTCCTGATCTTCTATAATCCTCATCTTCTCAGCCAGATGAAATGCCAAAACCTCTACTCTGCTTTTCAGTTTTTCGCATGTGTTTCTTAGTTTCCTGACTACAGAGTGTGAGAATTTGGCAATGTCAAGGGAAAAACTGTGTCCAGCTCAGTGATTTACTAATTTTATCTCACTGGGGCTGTAGCCCCAAGTCTCCAAATTTTTCTCTCCAGCCCCAAAAAACTCCCCAGTAGGGCTCTCTGCCCAGGCAAAGCCTTGCTTCTCAGTCCAGTGGACCTGAGAAATGGAAAACACTAGGTGAAAATTGGACCCTCTAGTTCTGTCTTTAGTAGCTCTCCAATTTTTTTTTTTTTAAGATTTTATTGGGGAACTGGGGAAGAGGAACAGACAAGTTGCTGTCCTTTTGTTCTTCAGTCTAGTTGTGGAGGACGTTGCCTCACTGGCCCAAGTTGGTATTATCATTGCGCTCTTCCAGGGTGAGGCAGTCGCTCGCTGGCCATTGGATGGCTGCTCACGAAAGCGCATACCAGCTGCCAGCCAGCCCACTGCAGCCTACGCCATCACTGGCAATTTACAGTGGCCCAATTCCAGGTCGAGCTGTTGTTCACCATCTTAGCTGTAGAGGGCGCAGCATCACCGGCCCTCATGTGGGATCCGGCCCTGCTGCTCAGAGCTGGTGTCCCAAACCAACTCTTAACCAACACACCACTCGGCCGGCCCTCCAATTTCTTTCTTTTTCTTTTTTTTAAGATTTTATTGGGGAATTGGGGGAGGGGAACAGACAAGTTGCTGTCCTATTCTTCAGGCTAGTTGTGGAGGACGTCGCTTCACTGGCCCATGTTGGGATTATCATTGCGCTCTTCCTGGGTGAGGCAGTCGCTTGCTGGCCATTGGACAGCGGTTCACAGCAGCTCGTGAAAGCTGACACCCGCTGCCGGCCAGCCCCACTGCAGCCTACGCCGTTGCCGGCGACTCACGGCAGCCCAGCTCCAGGTTGAACTGTTGTTCACCATCTTAGCTGTAGAGGGTGCAGCGTCACTGGCCCTCATGTGGGATCCGAACCGGGGCCCTGCTGCTCAGAGCTGGTGTCCCAAACCAACTCTTAACCAACATGCCACTCGGCCGGCCCTCCAATTTCTTAAATGTATGTTCATATTTCATATATATAGGTCTAGTTCAGGGGTTGGCAAACTTTTGAGATGGAACGTACCCAAAGAGCCGCATGTGGCTTACAAGCTGAAGTTTGCTGACCCCTGGTCTAATTAATCAATAATCAAGAGTACATTATGACTATAGGTTGTTCCTGTGTCAGATAATGACTATCATATGTGCTCTATCCTATTTGCCATCTATCCATCCTATCTAAATTTCAGATATCAACTATCTTCAAGTATCACATATATTTTTTCCCTCATAGCCTTCCATCATCCTGTTCCAATTTGGGCTGCTTCTTCCTTAAGTTCTTTTTTTTCTTTTAATTAAAAAAAAAACTTACTGTAACTTGTATTAGGAAGCTGTTCCTCTGTTGAACTTGCCTCTTTTCTCACCTATTTTCTATGCCTGTATTTTTGTTCTACTTTCTGGATAATTTCCTTAACTTTATCTTGCAACACTTCTATTGGATTTCTTTTACAATTTTCGCTACATTATGAATTTCCAAGCCCTTCTCTAACATTCCCAAGGTAGGGTGACCTTGGAAGTCACATCTCAGTTATAAGATGGAGGATGTGGGAACTAGACCTAGTAGTATTTGCCAGTTCGTTACTATGTTAGAGCTTGTCTACCTGAAAGCTACAGTTTGAATATCCAAAAGGGTTTTTTCTTTTCTTTCTTTTTTTTTTTTTATTGGGGAATTCGGGGATGAGAACAGTGCTGGGGAATTGGGGGAAGGGGGAATTGGGGGAATTGTTCTTCAGTCTAGTTGTGGAGGACGTTGCTTCACTGGCCCAAATTGGCACCATCATTGCTCTCTTCCTGGGCGAGGCAGATCAGTCGCCGGCTTCTGGACGGCCACTCACGGCGGCTACTGGCCACACACGGTAGCCCATGGCAACCCACTGCAGCAGGGGCTGCAGCCTACGCCCTCGCCTGCAACTCACAGCAACCCAGCTCCAGGTTGAGCTGTTGTTCAGCA